TCTCTCATTCTCTCTCTCTCTCAAATAAATAAATAAAATCTTAAAAAAAAAAAAAAAGAAAAGAAAAAGATGGACATAATAACCATCTCCACTCAGGGGACTATTGTGAGGAGCAAATGAGCACACATAAAGGGCTTAGAACAATCCCTGTTCAATTGTAAGTGCTGTTTAAGTGTTTGCTGGCAATATATATTCCTTTTATATACTTTGGACTCTTAGCCCATTTACCTTTCTTTGTGTGTCTCCAAAAAATTTAGTATCCAGATATTTTTTTAAAGATTTATTTATTTATTTGAGAGACAGAGGGAACAAGAGTGGCGGGGGGGGCGGTGCAGAGGGAGAGGGAGAGGGAAAGTCTGAGGCAGACTCTTCACTGAGTGCGGAGCACCACGCGGGGCTCAGTCTCACCACCCTGAGATCATGACCTGAGCTGAAACCAACACTCGGACACTTAACTGACTGAGCCACCCAGGCGCCCCAGTATCCAGATATTTTTAGGCACAAAATGGTGCAACTTTATAAATGTGCTTGAGCACACTAAATGAACACTTGATCTGCTTTTATAGATAATCTTGGTTTTTTGACACGTGGGAGTAAAGGCACGGTTTGTCCAAAGCAAGGAAATGAATACAAGGAAATGGCAAACAAGTGTTCAAAACACTTGATAAAATATGTTATTATTGGGATGCCTGGGTGGCTCAATGGGCTAAGCGTCTGCCTTCGGCTCAGGTCATGATCCCAGGGTCCTGGTATTGAGCCCCGCATCAGGCTCCCTGCTGGGCGGGAAGCCTGCTTCTCCCTCTCCCTCTCCCCAGCTTGTGTTCCCTCTCTCTCTTTGTCAAATAAATAAATAAATAAAATCTTTTAAAAATATATGTTATTATTAATAAGGGAACTGAGTCTTTCTTGTACTTCCCATAATCTTCTTTTGATTTATGTTACCATCCTTGAAATTTCACACTAGGCAATTAGAATTTGGAGAGCCTTTTCTCCTTAATTTGTTCTCAAAATGAAAATGTTCATTCACATGCTCATGGGGTGAGGGGGCAGGTTGTAATGCTCTATTTTGTGTTTTAATAATTTTATAATTCTACTGTTCTAGTTACTCACTATCTATTTTATTGCATGTTGAACTCAGTGCCCTTGGGATGAATATGAAATGTTTACATCATGACCAAACAGAATTAGTGGTAAAAATGAGCATTATCCCATCTTACAAGATGGATACACTAGAACACAATCACCGCTATCTAAGAATTAGCATAACTTAATTACTCACAGAACATGTTAATCAGGGTCTTTTTAGGTATAGAAAATGCCTTTTTATGAACTATAAAACCGTTCCTGGTCTCCACTCCCTGCCTTGTGTTAGCAATAACTTCAAAAGTGTGTCATGTCACTATTCTTCCCTAATACTCCTATGGATGTATCTGGTTCAGGATCTCATAGAAGAAACTAAACCAAATCCATGTGTTTCATTTTGTTTTTTCTAAATGATGAATCAAAGGAAAAAAAATGGATGAGATCAAATATGTTATCTCCACATCATACATTTAAGAGTGCTGTTTTATGTGAGCCTTGTTATGGTATGCTATAACCTTCAGAATTATGTTGTCCTGAAATACTGAATCTTTTTAAAAATTTAAGTATAATGGACTTTTATTGCTTTTTCTTTTTTTATAATCATATTCCCAATGTGTAATTTGAATAGGCAAGTTTTTAGAAATTACTTGTTAATAGGAGGAGTGCCAGTGCTGGAAATAAACAGGGGATTAGTGGTGGGAGAGATGCCCCCCAACAATTTTGTTCAGTAGCCTGATCGTTACATAACAGCAAGATAATCTGGGTGTTGGTTCATTCCATATATAATCTTTTAAAGGAATGTACCTAAGTCTTCAAGAGATTTTATATTTATAATATCATAGTTATGCTAATTATAATATAAATATAAGCTTTATCTGGTTATTTCTTAATTTCCAAAGCACTAGCATATGTATTTTAAAAATATAGTGTGAGTTTTGACAGGACCTAGTAATTGAAATGAAAAAGCACTCCTTAAATTTAATTTTCTTGTATAAAATATCTGCATGTGTGTATACCGAGAAACACACACTCATACATATACCCAAATTTACATATACCCATCTATACATACATATACACATACCCAAATGTATGTATATATACATATATATACACATGGAATATTAAAATCTCACCTTCTATTTTCTGAGCAGCTGTAAGTTTGATTGTGAGGTAATTTGCAAAAACACTTTTTGAGGCCCCCACCACCATCCATCTGTTTCCTCCTCAGAAATGAGCACTGAAACATGAAAAAAAATTGCCAGTCTTTGTGAAATCTGTGGGAAGAAAACAAAATATCGTGTTTCTCAAGTATTCTGAAACTTATTTACTGAATTCATTTGGCCTATATATTCCTTCTCATGTCAGCACATATGTCCTTACAATTGTGAGGATTCACCCATTTCTCTTTGGTAATTATTTTTTGTACATTACTCCCATAGTTCTTACTCATTTTTTTTCTTCTCAATACATTATTCTCTGAACACTTGACAACTTCATGGGAATGTTTCCTTTAGGCTCAATATCCCCATACCTATATTATCTTGTTTTAAAACATTAGTGTTGGGGCGCCTGGGGGGCTCAGTTGTTAAGCGTCTGCCTTTGGCTCAGGTCATGATCCTGGGGTCCTGGGATCGAGCCCTGCATCGGGCTCCCTGCTTGGTGGGAAGCCTGCTTCTCCCTCTCCCACTCCCCCTGCTTGTGTTCCTGCTCTCACTGTCTCTCTCTGTCAAATAAATAAAATCTTTAAAAAAAAAAAATGAGTAGTACAGTAAGGTGCTGAATGTAGACCTAATATTAAAGCACTTCCCCATCATTAAATTCAATGCTTGTATCCCTAACCGGTTTTTCTTAAAATAGCCTCCCCCCATTCCTAGCACCTTTGACTTTCTAATTTTTCACCTAGCTATTTTTGTAAATGGCACTTGATAATAACTTGACATATGTTTATTTGTATCCCTATTTATTGTCTGTTGCCTTCACTAAGATGTAGGCTCTGTGAAGGCAGACGCTTGGTTTTGTTTCTCTCTACGTCCTTGGTGCTTGGAACAGAACCTTGCAGACATAGGTTCTCATTAAATATTTCTTGACTCCGTTACTGCATATATATCTGCTGTTTATAATGGCCTATAAATACCAAATTATACTGCAACAAGTATATAGGTCAGCCTCTTCAAGCTGCGGTCTTAAGGACAAGTTTATCCAAGACAGCACCAACAGCAGTGTGGTGTTCAGCCTTTTGTGCATGCACACACTGGCCTGAGTAAGCCACACGCTTTCTAAAGAGTTTTTATCATGAACAGAATTTTTCTTCCTAAAAGTAGTCGAATTTTCAATTGTCTTGTGACATTTAGCAATTCTGGAACTCACTGAAGGCAGGAATTATGTCTTATTCATTTTTGTGCCCCCAAAACATAGCTCATTGTTCAGCATATAGCAGGCACTTAGTAAATTTGTTGAACTGAACAATCAAGGAAGCCTCTTTTTAGTTTTCTGATTCATCTCATAAAGACCTCATTGTTCTTTAAACTCCTGACAAAATGAAATTTCACTGATGTTTTTTAAAATAGTCAGTATGAGGTACTAGATTAAAATCTAATAATACATGTTCCTATAGTGCTATTATCATCATTTTCACCCAAAAAGCACCAGACAAGTCTTTCTCAAGAGTGCTAAAAGTTGTCTTGCAGTACAAATTCAACCCCTTACTCACTACAAATGACCTGTAGACTAAATTTTAATTTTGACCTTTTACTAGTGATTAGAGTCCTTTTTAAGGGTTATTTATCATGAAGTTGACTTCTTATCATTTGTAATTTTTTGGAGTGTGTGAGTGTACTCTATGCTACTGAATTTATTTGATCAATCTTTATTTTATTCCCTTTCTGTTCCAGTCCCTTCTTCACTTCCCAAAAATACTTGAGGTGATAATTACATTGTAATTATCAAAATAAAGTTGAGCTTTAGGTGACTTATTCTTAAAATTAAAGCATAAATTTCCATGGATGTGATTTTGTCAGTGAGAGACACATATTTCCTCCCTTTTCAAGATATTCTAAGAATCTGCTGCACAGTGAATACCACTGGACATAAGTGCTGTAATACATAACTCACTTCAAATCACATCGTCTTCCATCTGACACAGGAGATAAACTCTTGGGAGAAAAATATCTCAAACACAATTTTTTCTTAAAAATATATCTTGCTCAGATTATTCCACAGTTTAATGATGTTAACTATACTATGGTTTCCAAATTTATGGTAGTTTGGAAGGGGGGGGTTCTTCCTTAATTTCTGAGTTGGGAAAGTATATGGATCATAGCTCAGAATGGACCAATGGGAAAGTGTCAGGTTAATTTAAAGATTTTATGATTTGATAATCTGATGCAGTGTAAGCTGAAATAATGAACACAGGGAGAGATCTGGTGGGACAAAAGATGGAAATTGAAACAATGCAGGCCCCTACACTGGCAATAGCAGCACTACTGAGAGAGGAAAGATTTATTTTTAGGTTACTGTTGTGCGTGGAAATAAATTTTCAGGATCTGAACAGAGGTTAAAATTATGTTTGTTCATTTTGTCTTTAGAAAACCTAATACCCTTGTATTTAGAGACAAAGTTCCAAAGTACTCCTGACATGTGTTTCCCCCTGGATCACTAAACTTAAATGACCTTCATCAAAACTAATATTTCATAGTAAAATTTATTTTGACAGGCAAGGTCCATAACTTTCTCCCTCATCAGTATATATTGTATGATATTAAGTAACTGTAAAAGAGCATTTGCTCCGAAGACCCAATCAGCAGTGATATTTGGAGTGCTTCTAAATTGGGAGCAACAGAATTAATAGGGATCTGATCATCTTAAAACCCTCTATATTACAGATATGAACAGGTTTGCCTAAGACTTTTCTATCAAAATAGCATCTTTAGTGTGGGAACAATTTGTACTACAGCAAATTAGAGCTCATTGAAGACTCCATGTGTCAAGAGTAGCAAAGAACACATCTTTTATGTAGAATTATCTCATATATTCTTAAACATCTTAAAATAAATATTTTTATTAAGTTTTGTAATTTTGGGGCTCCTGGGTGGCTCAGTCAGTTAGTCGTCCAACTCTTGGTTTCGGCTCAGGTCATGATCCTCAGGGTTGTGAGATCGAGCCCCGCATTGGGCTCCATGCTGGGCTTGAAGTCTGCTTAAGATTCTCTCTCTCCTTCTCCCTCTGCCCCTACCCCTTCCCTCTCTAAAAATAATAATAATAATGTTTCTTATTTTAATTCCTGTTTAGTTAATACACCGTCTTATTAGTTTCAGGTATACAGTGTACTGATTCAGCAATTCTTTACATTACTCAGTGGTCATCATGACAAGTGCACTCCTAATCCCATTCACCAGCCACCCCCCCTCACGTACCTCCACTCTGGTTACCATCAGATTGTTTTCTAGAGTTAGGGGTCTGTTCCTTGGTTTGTCTCTCTCTTTTTTTCCCTTCATTTGTTTTGTTTCTTAAATTCCACATATGAGTGAAATCATATGATATTTGTCTTTCTCTGACTGACTTATTTCACTTAGCATAATACTCTCTAGCTCCATCCATGTCGTTGCAAATGGCAAGATTTCATTCTTTTTGATGGCTGAGCAATATTCCATTGTATATATGCCACATCATCTTTATTCTTAAAATAAATATGTTTAAGAAGTAAAATATAAAAAAATTAAGTTGCAATATTACTGATTTTAACATTTGTTTTTTACAGGTGGCTTAACAGAATCAATATGCTGACTGCGGGATATGCAGAAAGAGAGAGGATTAAGCAAGAACAAGGTAAAGGAATATTTTTTTTTTTAGAGTCATGGGGTTTTTGTTTTGTTTTGTTTTGTTGTTATCCTATACAGTGATTCACTACTATCATTTGAATGAACATGCAGTCACCAGGCTATGGTTATTTCTCTTCTGGGCACTTTGAATCCAAACCATAGCATCTTATAGGTAAGGTCTAGTAAACTAAACAGATGGGGAATAAACTCTGAAATTTTTGGAGCACCTCGTGTGGAGTTCGTTGCTGTCTCTCTCAGTCTTTTTTTCAAAGGAGGAAAAAAATCTTAAAAAGTCTGGTGGGAGGATGGGTTAGCCTGGTGGTGGGTATTGAGGAGGGCACATTCTGCATGTTGCACTGGGTGTTATGCACAAACAATGAATCATGGAACACTTCATCTAAAACTAATGATGTAATGTATGGGGATTAACATAAGAATAAAAAAAAAAGTCTGTAATTGATCCTAAATATTGGCCAAAGTTCAGGTCCTTATTGGTGCATTGTTTTTTTCTGTTTAGCAGTTTCATAGACATTTTAGTGGACTTTTATGCAAAGAGCTCAGATGGATGACCCCTTCTTCCATAAATTATCTCAGTTGGTTATGTTCTTCGGTTCTGTTCATCTGTTACTCTGTGATCTTATGGAACTTGCCTCGGTATTGACCTCAGATTTACAAAAGACAATGTCATTATGCAAAATTAAAATTTTACTGAAAGTTGTAGTCACCATTCCGAAGTTGCTTTACATTTCCAAAAAGTGTTTATTGTACATCCCTTGGAAGCATCAACAGGTGTTGGAAGTCTCAAAAGAGACCCAAATCAGAGAAATTCTACAGGTTGATATATATACAAACATATTTCTAGTTGTGTCTCCAGTGGGCATAGCCTATTTGTTTATGTGGAGACTCTAAAAACCTTCTGTTTCCTCTCAGAGTAAAACCTCAGCCAAAACTTTTTTAAACATCTAAAAGCTAAAGGTTAGAGAGTTCTAAAGAAGATAACCAGATCACAAAACCAATCTGTCAGCAAATGTTTAGGGCAGGGGTTGGCAAACTTTCTGTGAAGAGCCAAGTAGTTAATGTTTTAGGCTTTGCAAGCCCGTAAGATTTCTGTCTAAACTGGTCAAAGTCGGCCATTACAGTATGAAAGCAGCTGTACACACATGAGGGATGTGTCTGGGCTCTAATAAAGCTTTATTTATGGACACTGAGATTAAATTTCATATCATTTTTTACATTTCAAAAAATATTCTTCCTTTGATTTCTTAACCATTTAAAAATCTAAACACCATTCTTGATCCACAGGCCATGTAAAAACAGGCAGAGAGCCTCATTTGGCCTGCAGGCCTTAGTTTACCAACCCCTGGTTTAGAGCCATTGGGTGAGGGAATGAGAATGGGTAGAGCACTGAAGGGTGAGGAGTTAGGGCAGGAAGATTTCAAAGAAATAGCAAAACATGGTTCCTGCCAATAGGAATATATCATCTTGTTGAGGATCTCAAAGATACACCCTTGAAATTGCTTGAGAAAAACAAAAACAAAAAAAGAAAAACGAACAAGCAACATAAAGTAAATGAGTCCTAATGATTGCACAACGTGCAACTGACGAAAAATTTGCTAAGTGGATGCAAAATTAAAAAAAAAAAAAAAACCTGGGAAGGAGGCAGGATTAATGAGGAAATAACTTGCTAGAGGAAGTGATCGTGAGCCTGATACAAAGTCAGCAGAAGAGGGGAAGAGAAGATATTTTATTCAATATGAAGCTTTTCTGTGTAATGCCTTCAACTGGCACTCTGATTAAATTAAGGTAAAATAGGCACCCATCCTGCCTGAAATTACACTGAATTCTAGTAGAAAGGGTACTCTTAATATAATACAGAAAATGAAATGTAAGAAAGTACAAATCAAGTTCTGTGGAAATTCGGCTGGAGAGATTGCTTCCAGGAGGGGAATGGGAAGACTATGTCGACTCCATTATTTGAACCCGTTCTCACAGGATGAGAAGGAAGTAGAGTTAAGGAAGTAACAAAATAAAGCATTCCTGAGAGTGGAAGCAGCATGGATACTTCCACAAATAACGTGGAAGCAATCTCCATCCAATCAGTGTGCACAGGCAAATCCCAGCCAGGACTACGAAATGTCAGGCCAGTTTCAAGCCACATTTTTTCATTGTTAAAAGTTTTTTAAAGGAATAAACCTTTCATACTTCAACTTAACTTATAGGCCTAAAATTGTGTTAAGAGTACTAAAAAAAATACGAGCCTTCCTTTTCACATTTTTTGAAAGTCATAAAAGAGTTCTTTATAGGTGCATACAGATTTGTTTCTGATTCTTTTAAGATGCAAGAATTAAAAGTGAGCAATGTACGGATAGAAAAAAATGAATCTTTGAAAAAAAATGTAATGTACATGAATAAGGAATCTTGGACTTTCAGGCTCAACTCTTGTATTTTATCACTTTGAAGCTTAGCATGGTCTTGATTTTAGTGAATTTTCTTTGTACGTGGTATTATATAGTCGAATTTCATTGTGGATTAAAGAACTGGTAAGTTATATTGCACATGCAGGTTCCAATAAGTATTCAGTCCATGGATTCATGGTGCCCTGGTCATGTGAGTATATATTTTAGTGCCTTCTGGAGTGGTAGGCATTCATTGGCAGAAGCTAATAGTTAATAATTCACCTCTCTCTTGCTAGCACATTGCAACCAGAATCTGTGAAGTAATTTGGATTTCCACATAGAGTATATATTCCTCAGGCACTCTGACCTCGGTCAGAAACATACAACACTTCCTACCTTCTGCACAATTAGGTCTCATGGTATATTCTGTAGAGAAAGCAACTGGATCCATGTATCTACTCCACACTTCTGTACAGTTCTTTGACATCTCCTGAGAACCGTTCTCAGTACTGAAGTTAAACTTCATACAAAATATAGCTCTTTGAGGGTTGGGAAACATTCACAAACATGTAAAGGAGTAACAACTGCCAAGCACTTTTTATTTAAGTAGCCAGTGCAGCTTAGAAGTGACTCTTGCATTGATTTAAATAAAAGTTTAGTGAATTGCTGTCTGTAGCTACAGAAGTGTAAAGGATGTGGGCTTCTCTTTCATTATTTATTGTTGTACTTAGAGAAAACAGGGTTATACTAAATTATCAAGATCACAATCTGGCTAATTGTCTGCTAATCATTTTTCTATATTTTTCCACCTTCAAGTCAGACATTCATGACACATTATTTTCTGTCATACATAAGGTCTTTCTAAAGCTTTAATCACATAAAAATGAATGAAATATATTTTTTGGTAGTTTTAGATGAAAAAGTCATTCTTTTTTTCAAATTTTCCTTTTATATCAACATGAGAAGTAAAGTGAAAATGTTCCTGTTCTATTGACAGCACTGTTTATTCATGATTAGTTACTTATAAAATTGAATACCACTACAAGAGACATTAAGAGTTCCCATTTATTTTGTGCTAAATAGAAAGCTAAAAAAAATAATTTGCTCTTAGAATGCAAATCAAACTGGTTTCAGCCTCTGAGCAAACGGTGTGCCTGTGATTTTCCACACAAACCCTAAATAAACCATGATTGAATTTTCTGTGTAGGTTCCTCTCTGGCATTGCTCTCTCAAAGACACACAAGTTACTGTGAAAAATGAAACTAACTTACAAGGTGGGATTTCAGTCTTTTCTTTAGCAACCCAAGAAAGCTATAGATTGATGGTACTTTTTAGTAAACCAAGAATTACATCAAACAGTGGACTAGAATTCTTCTAATTCAGCTGAGGGGGAAAAGGAGAGAGAGAATCTCCCACATCTATCACTTGTAGTGATAGCTATAGGGAATTGTATAAAATGGCAATCCTCTCCTTCTCAACATGCTGATAAGGACCACTTGAGGTACTAATTCTTTGAGACCCCCCCAAGGTATCAGTGCAAAGGTCAAGGAGAAACTCAACACATGTGCCACAGTTTCATGAAATAGTAGAAAGGGTAAAAACAAAGTGATCTTAGTAAACCACTGCTTGGTGGGATGGGGGTTGCTGACCCCTTCACCTCCAGCAGTGACTTCCCTATAGTATTTCAAGCTCCCACAGAACTACCTAACCCAGATCCCAGAACTTCAGAATTCACTTTTCATTGCTGCAACTTGCTACAAGAAAAAAAAATGTCCAAGAAGATAAACACAAGGCATCTATCTCCTATGTGATCTGGGTCAGACTGTCCTAGCATGCTACCTACAAATCCACCCAAGAAGATCAGGGGTCCTAATATTTATTGAGTGCTGTCAAGGTGCGAAGCACTTGAATATATATTACCTTATTTAGTACACACACACACACACACACACACATACACACAACTCTGAAAGGTGGTTATCATTAGCCCCCTTTTACAGATGTTCAAAGAGACTCAGGTTTAGTAACCATCACAAGAGCACAGAGATGGTAAACAGTACAGCCAAGAATTGAACCTACATCTGCCCAACTATATAGTTCATGCTTTTCCCACCATTGTTTGTTGGGTACATCTCTCGGCAACTACATCAATTCATATTTGAGGGGAAACTTAGTATACTGGCTGTCACCAGCATGGTCCATTGTAAATTACCAGACACAAGTTTAGATCAACTAGTTTCTGCTTATCTTTTAGTCAAAGGGAATAATTAAAGTAGGAATAGCATTTTCAAAGTTTTTGTATTTTGAGACCTGAATATAATAATCTCCTTTGCTAAAGAATTGCTGTTCATGTTAGCCCGAGTAATAGAGCAGCGGGAGGAGGGGGGCTTAAAGCATCATGTATAGGGATGCCTGGGTGGCTCAGTCAGTTAAGTGTTTGACTTCAGCTCAGGTCATGATCCCAGTGTTCTGGGATTGAGCCTCGGCAGGGAGCCTGCTTCTCCCTCTCCCTCTGCCTACCACTTCCCCTGCTTGTGCGCACTCAATCTCTCTCTCTCTCTCTGACAAATAAATAAAAATCTTTAAAAAAAATTTTTAAAAAGCATCGTGAATATATGTCAAATTAAATTCTCCCACTATGTCATACAAAAGAGTCCCTTCAAGGTTTAGGGCAAGGTGATTTCTTAGTTCAAATCCCAGCTCTACTACTTTCTATTCAGCATATATAGTAAGTACTTAATATTAGCTATATTTATTAATAAGTATAGCAAGGAAAGTTTATATAAATATTACAGTACAGGAATTTCTGGGTGGAGAGGGGTTCCTGTAAAAATATGTACCATGATTTTTCACCTAAATCTCAGTATCATTTAGGCCTTATGATGGTTCTTTTGTGATTTGGATTTTCATAAGAATAAGGAACATATGTCTTAATACTTTTTCACTTCCTTTACCATCTGAGATTCATATGGGTAATACTTGTAGGTTTTTCTTTGTAAATCTTGTAAAGAATTAACCCAGAGTTAAGACTGGTGAAGATATTAGTGGAACAGGTTCTGATTATTGGCCTTTGTGCTGTATTTCACTTACTCAACTGATTTATCTCTCAGTTTTTTCCCTTCCCTCTTGCCTGAGGTCTGCCAAATCTAGTGGCTTACATTTTCTACCCTTTTAAGTAGTTCTGGAAGTTTGGAACTTGCGGCCCACATCAGCAAATTTGCCCTTTTGCATTTGGCAAGAATCAGGATTTGCCATGTGTTTCCAAGTAGAGGTGGGAGTATGGGTGTTATAGAGATTCATGTCAGCATGACTCTGGAAACAGCGATTGTTAGATAACCAGTGAATTGAAGCCAGAAAAAAGAATTGAGAACGTTATTTTTAGAGCTGTTTATATCTGTAGAGATCTACAGCAGTGTGTGTGCGTGTGCGTGTGTGTGTATAGCTTTTCTTTGAGTGTTCATCTTTAGGGTAAAATGATACACCTTTCAGAGGCATCATGTGATATCATTCATTAATTAAAGGTTCGGTATAATTTGGCCTGGAATCTAAAGCACCCTAAACCCAATTTGGCTTATGCAGTGTCTTTTTCTTAACTCCTTAACATTGTAGCTATGTATAATTGCTTGCTTTAAAGGTTGGAATTAGGTGATTGTACTCTTCCTTCTTCCTCAAAACCCAGCCAAAAATAAGTAGGAGTAGGAGGTGCTGGGGCTTGGAGTAGGAGGTGCTGGGGAGCAGGGTGTAGGAGTGGAATTTAAATTTCCTTGTGTTAGCTGGTAGTTTATGTTCCTGAAAATATGGCTAGAAACATTTAATAGAATGTTATTGTATCTATGTGTGTGAATTTACAGATTACTGGAGTGAGAGTGACAAGGAAGAAGCAGATACTCCATCAACACCCAAACAGGACAGCCCTCCACCACCCTACGATACATACCCACGGCCTCCCTCTGTAAGTTGCCAACAGGCATGTACGTAATTTGGCATCAGATTCTTCAGTGATATCCCTTCGTTCGTTAAAAACAACTATGTAGTGAATTGCATGTCAGACCTCAGGATTCCTAAGAGGAAGGAAAATAGGGAGTCTAAAAGCAATAAGGGGAAAAAATTTTTAAGTATGCAAAAACTGTTTAATCAGGAGAAACAGTCACCACAGATTCCAGGCGTAATAAAAATCTGCCCAGGTTTATTTTAAAAAAATCCTGTTTGTGTCAGAGTAGCCTTCATGGAAATATCAGCAAGAAAAAAAGTTTTCTTAGAAAAAGATATATAAATGGACCTTATGTATTTCCACACTAATAAAGTTCATTCCTGTGTCCTTCAGAAACAACTCATAAAAATTAATATTATATCTGTATTGAACACATGTTTTGACATACAGCTTTTTAGACAGTCATGGGGTCTGGTTTAATGTATGTGTTTATATGGTACTCCAGACTTCTTAAACGTGTGTAAATTATTCTGTGTATACACTGTACTTTAATCTTTTAATTGGATAAAACAACTGTCCTGGTTTTCTTGGAACTATCCCAATTTATGTCCGTTTCCCATCAGAATTATTAAGAGCATCTCAGTAGTGTCCCAGTTTCAACTATATATTGCATGCTTACGGCATCTTAAGAGTCAATTCTGCCTGTCCTGGGACCGAGTCATCCACATAGGAAATGGAAGCTGAATTTAGGTGACAAGAGCAGCCAACCTAATTGCACCTCCATATTACTCTAGAAGATTTTAAATAAGAAAGGCACTACACAAGATGTTGATATAATTTGAGGACACTTCTCAACCTTGGCTATGCATAAGAATCACCTCTGGAACATTTTAGAAATGCAGATGCAGACATTAAATCAGCATATCTGGGACTACAAACAGCTCAATGGACTAGACTATGGACTTTTGCAAACAGGGGCCCTGTTGGATGGATCTACACATCCCCATGGCCTAACACAGCACTGGCACTTATTTATTAAGTGCTTAATAAATATTTCTGAAATAAACACATGGGCACTTTTGGCCAATAACTAAAAGGGAAGCCACATTTTTAATAACCACGCTTGATGACAGTGTCTGTTACCTAAGAATTGTTCCTCTATATATGCACATTTCTTTAATAAATGCTGCAGTTTACTGAGTGCAACAGAATGCAAGGAGGAGCGATAGAAATGAAATCATGAAGTCAGTGACAAGATATAGTTTATATCATATTTTCCCTCTTTCCCTAAAACATCAGGGCCTGAATAATTGCTTTAAAATATTTCTAAAAGAGGAAGAAAGGGAAGCTGCAGCTTCAGGGGACGGCGCCTTAATCACAGCAGCGTGGGGATTTCAAGAAGGAAACTTTATATGTTATTAACGTGTGGGAAGATAAACTGCCCCCAGAAGATGCCAGTTAACTTCTCCTCCTTTAGCCAGAGGGGCTGTATGTGCTTTCGCCTCAGCTGGGCTTGTCCTGACCACAGCTGCAGCCCCATTTGCCAGGATCACATTTGATAAATCTGGCTCCTCCTGCCAGAAAGGGGCCCAGGCTTATCTGTTAGCCCCCGGAGCTGGAGTAAGCCTTGTCCCCAGCGGGGGCGCCTGCAAGTCCTTTACAGCATTCACTTGATGTCAGTCCTTTTTCTTGGTTGTGCTTTGTGCTATGCTATATATTCCCAAACTTGAAATTCAGGGAATAAAAGTATCCCATTTTTCTTTTGTGTTTATGTACCCTGAGGTGCCCATGCTCAAGGCAAATGCTAATCCCCATCCGGGTATAATCTCATCCTGCCTATATTTTTAACTCTCTACAAAGTGCCACAAATTGACCAGATCCTAAGAAAGCTTTTCCTTGGGGCCTATAGGAGCAGACATTCAGCTGTGAGGAAGAGGAGGGGTTCTGTCTGATTATAGGCATCTTGTTTTCATATCCAAAAGCCTCTCTCCTTGCCCTCGTCCCCAAACTCCATAAAATCCAGGAATATGAATTTGGCAACAATTGTTCACAGTTTCAAATGCATAGAGATTTTTAAAACTTCAGATTTTTTTGTAGTTGTTGCTGACTATTTCTTACGTAAGCACTCGGATTTTCTTATGCTTCATTGTAAAATTTTGCATGTTAATATGTCAGATTTTTCATGAGAGTCTGGTAGCGCTGCATTTAAACACTCCCCATCTCAGTCCCTTAAAAGATCAGCCGGGGCCTAACTTTGAGATGTCTGTGAACTTGACTAGTCATTAACTTGACTGGTAAATGTTAGCTGGTGGAAATCTAATGTGTGCCTTGCTGACAGAGGTGGTCCATTATTTCTGTGGAGACTGATCAGAAGCTCCTTTCCACAGATGAGTTGTGCCAGTCCTTACGTGGAAGCAAAACACAGCCGGCTCTCGTCCACTGAGACCTCCCAGTCACAGTCCTCCCATGAGGAGTTTCGCCAGGAAGTGACCGGGAACAGTGCGGTGTCCCCCATTCGCAAGACAGCCAGTCAGCGCCGCTCCTGGCAGGATTTAATCGAGACGCCCCTGACAAGCTCAGGATTACACTATCTTCAGACTCTGCCCCTGGAGGATTCTGTCTTCTCCGACTCCGCGGCCATCTCCCCAGAGCACAGGCGACAGTCCACTCTTCCAACTCAGAAGTGCCACCTACAGGATCACTATGGGCCGTACCCTTTGGCCGAGAGCGAGAGGATGCAAGTGTTAAATGGAAATGGAGGCAAGCCTCGAAGTTTTACTCTGCCTCGAGATAGCGGGTTCAACCACTGCTGTCTGAACGCACCGGTTAGTGCCTGTGACCCGCAGGATGACGTGCAGCCCACAGAGGTGGAGGAAGAGGAGGAGGAGGAGGAGGAGGAAGGGGAGGCAGCAGGGGAAAACATAGGAGGCAAAAGTAAGTATGCTGGAGATCTTAGCCTGTGTACACAGAGTCCTAACCTTTCCAAACTTCTTATTTGAAGAAAATAGAATCTTGTTTCCCTTTTTTCTTAAAATAATGGTCTTGCTGCCCAGGAAGTTAGGTATCCCTTGGTGTTTTACTTTGAGAACTTGAGTAACGTAGTGGACAAAAGATGGATAACGAAGCCTATATCCCAGGACACCCAAAGCTAGAGCAAATGGTTTTCCCCAGTTACCCATTTGCCTTTTAAGGTTAATGATAGTCATTTCTTTTCCTTCCTCCTGTTATCCACTTTCTTCTCCCTTGCATGCATCATCCCTTTGGTCCACAGTCATTGCCCCCTGAGTTTGGGTTAAGAAACTAAATGCTTCAAGCAGGGTGTTAGCAGAACCTTGGTTGAATATGTAAGTGAACACACACACATACACACACACACACACATATACAACTTCCCTTTCCACCATTAAAAGATTTAAAGGAAAAATTCAGAAGAGTTTTTCCAAGAAGAAATTTCAAATAGCACTCCTATCAACTCCAAATAGCTGAAATAACCAGTTTGCCAAAAGCATTTATTTACTTTCTTGGTATGTATGCAGATTGCAAAACTCAGTTTATGCGAATCAACTCTTAAGAGAGACAAAGTCAATTAAGTAATCCTCTGACTTGTTGGCATTAAGAATATGTTTACTAAAAAAAAAAAAGAATATGTTTACTAATTATCAAGGTCTTTATCCAACATGCCTTACTAAGCATGTTTATAATTAATGTGCTACACCAGTCCAGAAACCCAGCCTATTTTAAGGGAAAGGCTAGAACTCAGTTTTTTACTTAGAAAGAAAATCTAGGTTTGGCTGTAAGTCCTGAATGTAAAATTACCACCCCAAAAATAGTGTTAAAGTAGTAGCATAAAACTGTTTGCATGTCTTTATTCAAAACGAAGTTTGGGCCAGTTAGTGCAGATGTCCCAAGCCAATGTTGATGAAACCACAGTTGCTGGTTTGGTCCCACTAGGGCATTAGATTTCTCTTTTTAAAGGATACAAGCAGACTATATCCATCAGCCCATTTTGTGAGTATACGAAACTTTGACTGTGGGATATATTACTGTAAGTTCTTCATCACGACTGGAAAAACAACTCAAAGCTCACAGAGAACCAGCAGGTCAGGAGCCTCATCCCCATGTCAAGCTTGGCTTATTTAAAATGAGGGGTCACTTTGGAGATGATTAATAAGAAAATACAGTAGACTTCCTTTTATGGTATGGATCTTCATTGCATTATTTAATGGGAATTAAATTACATCTTCTACCATCAAAATGAGTCGCTTGTAATAAAATTCATGTGTTAAAGCAGTTTCCACGTGAAGTGTATCCATGAGGAACGTTACAAAAGGTATACTATTGGTGCAGGAAAATGTAATTGCCATCTGTTACCTGCCAAGGCCTGCTAGCATTCACATTTATCAGAGATTATGGAGGAGTCTGGTGGAAGAAATATCTAGGAGCCATGTTAGGCCTCTGTAGGACTTCTGGCAAGCATGATAATACATTTTTACGGTTATGATGTTTACCAAAATTAGTACGTTGTTTTCTAAAATTTAAAGCTGAGTTAGAAACTTCGTTTCGATGGTCATTCAGGTACTGCACAGCTGCTGTAACTAACTATATGAGGTTTGTTCCGTATTGTGCAAACATAGCGGGGAAAGTACTTTATCTCTGCCATTCTAAAATAAATTGTGTTGACATTTGCATAGCCCTCTGGACTAGAGAATTCTGTCCAGAAAACATCCCCTCGTGGTCGCAGGTAGAAGTCATTGATGCTATCTTTCTCGTTTAAGCCACTTACTTCCCAGGTCCTCCTGGCCATGAGTGAGGGAGTACCGGAGAGGAGAAGGCACGTCCTAGGGCCTGAAAGGAAAACCCGGGCCCACAGAGCATCTGTAGTTAGATGGCTTTCGAGTTTGTTCTTCCAGTGTCTCTTTTTTGCTGTTTTGTTGATTGGATATATTTTTACCATATAGATGCACTCCTAAGTTGGTGGGGTTTTCCTTCAGGTTCCCAAATGAGTCAAGTGGGCAGTTCTTCGGTATTTTCCATCTCTTTCAGGGGCTCTTTTTTGTGTGGAATAATTGGGATAAGGCCGAACAACCCTAGGAAGTGTGTCCATAAATCTAGTATTGCACATTTTGTCTTTATGATTCAATATCGTGGGGGCAGTTGATGCTATTTCAGTTGGATCTGCTTCACAAGAGGAGGCCATGCACTGTCTTTCAGGGCCCCATTTCTTTCTGGGCATTTTCCCCCAAATCTTGCCACTTGATGTGTCAGTGTTCTTCAGACCATTCTCAGCAGAGCAGTGCATTTCGTGGTCGCCTAGTAGAAGATGCTTTTTACTTAACAGAATGTATGTTTACTTTCCTAATGATGGACTTTCTGCATTACTGTTTTTAACATTTAGGAGTGTGCAATTTGATGAACATGTCATTTGAGAAAATCAGCTATAAAATCAGTGTTTTCAAAAGAATTTTTAAGGTCTAGTTAAAGGGTGTCGTGTTCGTGACTGCCCCGGCTTGGCCGTTAGGAGCAGGTATTCCAGGCTTCTCACTCAAATTGAGCTGCTGGGTGTTATATCAACAGAACCAGAATTAGAGGCACAAAAGAAGCTGTGACCACGCCATCAGTCCCAGGCTGGTGGCAGGCCCTCCGACACGGAGCCCTGCGCTTGTTACAGACGAAGCCCAGCAGTGGCATGTTACTAACTGTCCAGCTCTAGGCCAGCATTTGGTTTGACCTACTAAAGTGAATTTGCACTAATCCAGTACAGACCTGCAGGGGAAGTAAGTTTCGTGTCTCTAGCTCCAAATATTTTTTCGTAGTTTACCAAGAAATTAAAAATAAGAAGCATCAGGCAAGTGGGCAGGAGTAATGGAAGAAAATGTGAAAATATAGCCTACCTTCTGCTTTACGGATGAAGAGCTATGTCATCAACCAAACTCCTCTCTTATCATTTATATTTACCTTAACTTTATATAATATAATATATATTATATAGTGCTTACAAGTTTGCAAAGCAATATAAAAAGCAAGATGTACCTAAATCGGTGACTTAGATGTTGTTGTTGTTTTTTAATTTCCCTCCTTATGAAGTGTAAATTTAGCCTCCTTTAGAACGGTCTTCAATCTGTGTTCTCATGGTTGGACTACGTTTTCTCTTATTTTGAAATTCAGTTATTTAACTGAATCATGCTATGATTTTTCACAGGTTGAATTCATTTTGGTGTAAGATGGATGGTATTAAAAGTACACAGATGAGACCTGTCTTGTTTTCCTTTGACTGAAAAGTCAGCTTGCATATTAATTATCCTGACCTACTTCACTGGCATTTGGGAGAAGACAAGTAATTTCCTATTATCCCAATTAGCAGTTTCGAAGCTTACTGAGATGTGGGCCTTATGATACCTCAGTTAAATTAAATTATAAATTATGTCAGCCTATGCATCTTCCAAGGAATATAAATCATGAAGGTGTGGACAAAATATAAAAATAAACTTCATTCGGAAATCACCTGCCATAACATTAAAATACTGTTTTGGTTAATGCAGGTTGAAATCTACTTGGAATAGCTCTCTTTTCTTTGCCATACTAGACAGTTTAGATGAGGTTTTCAAAAGCTTTATCCTTTTAATCCTGCTGATTTCCCTCTTGGCAGTTATAAGAATACTCTTTACTAGCCATACATTCTTGGTGCCTCCATGTACTCAATGAAGTTATAATGTTCTCTTTTTCATTGTCTTATAGATGAACTACCACTATTCTCACTTAATTTACACATTTATTAGCGTGGTCTTAGAAATCTAAAGCAAAACCCAGGGTGTTTTGTTTTTGGTTTTTTTTTTTCCAGAGGAGGGAGGGCGGATAAAATCTGTCATCTTGGGGCACCTGGGTGACTCAGTTGGTTAAGAGGCTGCCTTCGCCTCAGGTCATGATCCTGGGGTCCTGGGATCGAGCCCCACGTCCACCTCCCTGCTCAGCAGAGAGCCTGCTTCTCTCTCTCTCCCTCTGCCTGCCACTCTGCCTACTTGTGCTCTCTCTCTCTATCTCTCTGTCAAATAAATAAATAAAATCTTAAAAAAAAAATCTGTCATCTTGTAGCTATAATGCCCATCAGCTTATCCGGCCAAGGTATTTACTGATGCTTTCAAAATGAGATTTTCTGAGAAATGCATTTTAAGGTAATTTTTTCCTCCTTTGCACAACATTGGTAAGTTAAGAGCTGTGTAAAATATGCAGCTCAATGGCCTAATATCTTAAATTATCTAGGCAGAGAGGCTAGATAATGACTACCAATATAGTGCAGAAGAAGACAGATTAATCCTCTTCAATCATTTTAAGGGTCCTAAAGTAATTTCCTGAAGAGTCTCTAAAAGCCATGAATTTTATTTTTAAGAACATCCAGGTACAAAGTATGTGGGCAAGGGAAAGATATTCCCAGAATATGAAATTGTGTAAAAGGAAAAAAGGAGCAAGTTGAAAATAAAAGTGTTGCAACACGTTTTACTGTTTTATTGATTATTGAGATCAATTATGCACAAACACAAAAAATTTAGAAGGGCATAATCATCAATAATATCTTCAGTTATAGTTCAAGTCTAAAGGAAACAGATGGAAAAGCTATATGAGAAATGTGAATAAAAAGACGTGCGTTAAAGTCAGAGAAAAAATAGCAGAGAACCTTATATATGGCACTTTTGTGAAGTTTAAGGGCATTATTCTTGGCTGGTTATGTAACAAGTATATATAAAGAACACAGAAAAATCTAGAAAGTGGTAAACAAATGTTCTCTTAATACCATATTTTCTGATTTTGAAGATAGATAAAAAATAGAGTCTAGCTAAAATGCTGATACTGGTTATAGTTTGGATTTATATTATTGGGAAGTTCAGAAGTGGGGTTGTTCTGGAGTGCATTTTGTGGCTCTGCAGCATCAGGCCTCTCAGTTAACTTTTCTGTAATGCCAACAGCTCTAAGCATCACTTCTTATAAGACAGCATCCCGAGAGCCAAAGACCAGCATCCAGGGCGCCCTATCTTTAGTCCTGTTTGTAAGATCAAAGAAAACTTCTCCTAGATTCTTCCAGCAGACTTAGCTCCCTATTGCATTGGCCAGGATTGCATCATATGCCCAAATAGCAAGGGAAATGGAATAACTATATGAGTAGTTGAGACTAACTTGATTTGTTTTTAAGATCATAAAGAAAAAAATGTACCAAACCGTTTGTCATTACTATCCACACGAGTCTCTCCACTGTTATGTATGCTATATCTGCAAATATATTTGTTCAGGTAGTGTGGCACTCTTTTAATATATATATACATACATATATATATATATATACATACATATATATATATATATACATACATATATATATGTATGTATATGCAAACATGTACCCCAGATCACATCACATCATTTAAGTCTAGACACTAACGAAATGTTCCATATCTAAAAGGGGATAAATATTATGTAAACCTGAAAATACAGCAAGTTAGGTATAATTATTGTTGACTTTTGAAAGGAATAAGTGTATTTTCCTGTAAACACTAAGTGATCGGAACTTAGAATACAGTCTCTGAAGATATTTCTCAGTTTAAATCCTTGCTTTGTCACTCTACCACTTGCAAGTGGTATGATGGATCAAGTTATTTAACACCTCTGGACCTCAGTGTCTTCATTGTTACATCATGTGGTAGCTGTACATGAGGTTATATAAGGATCAAATGAGGCAACACCAGAAACACTTAGTTTCCATATCTGACACACCGTAAGTCTTCCAATAATTTTTTTATAATTGTGTAATTTATGTAGATTTTATGCATATTTGGATTTAGGCAATGAGGGCAATTATAATACTTAAATAGTGAATTAATACTAGTAAACCTCAATAAATAACATTTACCTGACTACGTGCCCTAACTTTGTTCAGTTCCAGCTATTGAGTCGAACCATATGAATTGCTGTTTTTGTAGGTCAAATGATGAAATATCAGCAATTTTGTACATTTCAACATAATACATTAGCCATATCCTAGGAGCTAAATTAGAAATATCCCTCACTTTACATTCTTATCACTCACTATTCCTTTCCTTTTTGACTCTGGAATTTGGGAACTCAAAAGAAACCTTTTATTCCAAATAACAATAACGTTATATCTATTTACTGAAATGTGTTTATAGATACCATGCGGGTCTCAGTTCACATATTTTCCCCTCGGAGAGTTCTACCCTGACAACCCAGTCTGACCCAGAGGACCCCTCACCACCATAACCACCACCATTCATTCTCTGATATATTACCCCGTTTTATAATGTTCACCGCTTTATCACTCTGAGCATAATACCAAATATTGTTCACTGATTTATTTCCATCTCCACCCACCAGAATATAAGTTTCTGAAGAGCAGGGATTTTATTCCTGTTTTGTACACCTGGTGCCTAAAATGATATATGGCCCATGGTAGGCCAGACACCATTGGATGAATGAATGAATAAATAATAGCGAACCCCTTTTGTCACCAATTCTTTTCCATTTTATAATATAATAGTTAAAGCTGAAGTTAATGTTTTATCCATCGTGTGACATAAAACAGGAGTAAAACCATCACAGAATTCTTCATGTTGGGTATTTTGTAAGGAGAGGGACAGTACTGCATGTACATGCTGGACACCACTAAGCTGGGATGCGAATAACTAGAATTACTGCTCTTTGTGTTATGGCTCACTTAACTCTTAGAGAAGAGTCATCTTCTCTACTATTGAAACCATACTTTCCTGATTTAATCCCATTTCAAAGATGAAGGCCACAAGAATAGGACATGTGAAAGAACCAGTTCATGGTTGGAAACCAGATCTACCAGCACCCCTAGGCAGTTGTTTTCCTCCCAAAATCTGCTGTCTGCAGAAGGAAGGCTGGCCCCCTGGGTGGATGAAGCCACCTAGCTTCATCCTGTTTCCTTTGTAAAATGTGTCGATATTGCAGTTTGTGCTTGAGTGAATAACCAATAGCCCTGCATCTGCCAGGAAAATAATCTCAGGAATGTTACTAAGCCAGGAAGCCAGATTTAAATGGCGAAAGAATGAATTCTCGATGCTACAGAGTCACACCAGCAGAAGATGTGGGCAGCTAAGAACTAAAGTTCACATAAAAGAATGACAGCCCCTCACCAGTGTAGGTAAGACAAGTTAGGATTTACAGTTTGTTTGACCAAGCAAGTTCAGCCACAGTTTCGCGTGCTACTATTTTCACACATCAGGAAAGCAAACCACTTTTCTTCAGGTCAGTAATAGCATATTGTCAGTTTCTCAAGTGGAGTAATCTCTAGCTTATTTTATGAGAACCTGTCCTAAGTTCAGTCTCCATTTACCTTGGTCACCCTTGCCAGAGAAAGCTGAAGATCCCAAGTGCTTCCCTTTCTTCCCTTTGCATATGACATCTACCTTCTCTGGTTACCAACTACTGGAAGATGGTAGATTAAGACATAACAAGACTGCACCAAACAACGTAGCTGGGAAGTGTGTCAATTTCCCCATGTTTTTCTTTTATTGTTTTAATTGAAAAGTAATAACTTGCTTATTGCTAAGCAAATAAAACAATGATGAAAATAAAAAGCAACCCTCTCTCCTCCCTCTCCGGAGGTAACTTCTGTTCAAAGTTAAGGTTTTTAAAATTAATTCTTGTATGAATTTGTTTTCCTCATGTATCTTTTTCCTGTCACTCCACATTAGTAGGGAGGTGAGGTATAGTTTAGTTGGTTTTCAGGTAGTTTTTCCTCAGAAATTCTTTTGATAATGACTGTAGTTTATAATAGAAGCAACAATCTTATGAGATAACTCCCGTACCACCTCAGAAGGCCCCAATCCCAGCATGTCACCCTAGAAAATGCAGCAGTCACCTATTGACCTTTTCAAAAACAATGGGAGGAGAAATGTGAGAAGAAAGAGATGACAATGGCTGTACGTGCACACTTACCCCCTCTGATACACACCCCCATCCTCATATATCAGAAGCTTGTTGCCTACCTGCCTAATGCCTTGGTGCCATAAGACTTTTGCCCAGCCTTCTTGATGAAGGTCTCCCACTAATGTCATCTGATCCCAAAGCTCTGCACTGAAAACAGCTAAGCCAGAGACAGCTAGCTAAAAAGCACAGCAAGTCTAGCCTCCAAAAACTAGAATTTAGAACTCAGAGATGGGCTTCAGAACCACTGCGCCTGGTGGTCAGAGTTTACCTAGAGCTTTTGGTTTTAAGTTATAAAACACTAACCCTTCTACTAAACCATCTTCCTATTTTTTCCAGTGTTCTCACTAGCTCTGTTCTTCTGGCCTTTCTTATGCTAGGCCATAGGCACATCTTAGTGCTAATAGTTGGTCTTTAATAGCTCCATCTATTATACTCTGAAACTTTTCCCTTAATGGAAAAGTACTCTTATTATGTCATTCGATCAGGGGAAAAGGGCCTATTACTATATATTTTAAATGCAAAAGTGACAGTTGGTCATAAAAAAGTATTTTAATATTTAAACCTCATGCTTGATAACTTCTACAAGGTTCTTACCTCAGGAATGTAATATGACAATTTCATATGCATGTGTTTCTATTACAAGCACAAAGTATGCCAATGAAATCAACTTTGAGTTATTTCACAAAAATTGTAGAATACTTGAGAATAAGAATGATAGTTATTAAACTCATGGATTCAGTTCAGAGCTACAAATTCTTTAACTTTCTTAGTCATGGGTCCCCTACATTTCATTATCTAGATTTAGGTTACTAAAATGTAAACTAAGCCCCTATCTTGTT